GTGACCTCGACCCTTGGAATCTATGGAGCACATAGAGACTGGTGTGTGACCCACGCTTGACAGGTTGTGACAGCAGTTGCCTGCAAGGGGTGGTGGAAAAACTTGCTGCACTGATAGCAAGTTTTTCATTTAACTACTGACAGTGTGGAATGCATGTTTCATGTGGACCAGATGAAAGCTATGTAGGAGAGAGCCTGTCTGATGACAGTTTGAAGGGACTTTGCACATGGTAGCCATCTGGACTGGCAATGAGACCTTAACCTAGCTTGTATGGTGGTGACCTGGGGAGGAGCTAGGGTAGAAGGACTTGTCAACTGGGCAGCCCCAGAGTGCTTGGTCTATTAACAGGGGTTGCACTGAGAGATCCCTAGTAGTGGGACTGGTTAGTCTCTGGAGCAGAGCCTTGGAGAGAACCCCACAAAGCATGGATCCTAAACACCCCCGAGGCCTGAAAGAACTAGCACCTCATTGGTGCCAGTCAATAAAGAACTTTCCTGCCCCTGTATTTCTTCATGTCCTTCCCCTGACTTCAATTCTGGAAGTGCCAGATACTGGAGCAGGTGGGCAAAGGACTGGCAGGAGGAAGATAGTCAGAGAGGAACAGAAAGGAACAGTCAGAGGAAGACTGTTCAGACTACACAACATAGAATATTTCAGTTATAAAAATGAGGAGTTGGGGGGATTCCTTGGAGGTCCAGTGGTTAGGACTCTGTGCTTCCACTACAGGGGACACGGGTTTGATCCCTGCCCCTAGTTAAGGAACTAAAATTCTGCATGCTGTGTGGCATAGACAAAAAAAATGATAGAGGACTTTTTATTATTTGAGAGTGAGCAGAAAATTGGTGGGAATGGCCTGCAATTGCAACCAAGGGCAGGAAAAGGACAAGCCCTACAGATGAGTCCTGCAGGCCCACTACGAGACAAAACACAATTGGTTAACAACTGTACCTTACATGACCTATAATTTCAACATTGTACAACTCAAGGTACTGTTTCCTATTTTAGGCTTAGGAGATGTGAGGATAAAAGGCAGTCTCTAAACTCAAGGAGTGCATCCTTGAGCAAGAAATAGGTAAACAGACAATAGCTAACTAACATTTATTCAGCCCTTACTAGCAAGTCCCAGACACTCTGCTAAGGACTTTATATATGTTAATTAATTTAAACCTCACAACAACCTTACAAGGTGAACAATATTATGATTCAGTTGTACTAATGCTGCGAAAAAGGCACAGAGAGGTTAAGCAACTTGCCCAAGGCCATACAGTAAGTAGCAGTGCCTGAAAAAGTCAGGTCATCTGCCCCTGGAGCTCAGAGGACAAGCATGCTACTATACTGTTTCACAGAACAGGAGGTGTTACAATGGCTCCAATGGGGCATCTGCCTGGACTGAACCAGGGCAGGCATCCTGGAGGAGGTGAATTTTTTTCCCCAAAGAATGCCATTAGAAAGATGATTAGGAATTTGAAAAGGGAAGCACTAGAGAGTTTCAAGAAGAGGGAAAAGCCTGTGCCCCAAATGCATTAGAGAGTGGGGTTTCAAGCCATTTACTGCGGTTTGGCTAGAGAGAAGCTTGCTGAAGGCTTGACTTTGGTTCATAGATTTTGTATGTACCTAACACAATGCTTTTCAAATAATAGATTCTCCATAATTGCCTATTTGAGTAGGGCACCCAAGAAAAAGTGTAGCATGCATAGGTAATTCTGAAACAATGATTATGTCAATAATGCATTGCCCTTCCCTCCAAAGGAATCTAGCTGGTAAATCAAAAGTACTAATTCAGAAAAAGGGGGTCTGCTGAGGGATGTAAGGTTTGGCTTGCCTTGTCACCAAATATCTCTGGAGTACTTTGCTATTGTGGTTTATTCACCTTATATTTATCCCCCTAATGTTATATGTTGGAAAATGCTTAGAGACTACCTTAGGAGAAGGAAGACCAGGCATCTGAAGTCCATGTACACCACTGACAAAGTTCAATGACATTTGTTAATACTTGATTAAATATTGCTAGGCATTTGTGATCATTAATCTGTAACTAATGATTACCACTGATGTGTGTTTAAAGAGTCACTCTTGCACAACTTCTGAGTGTGGGAGAAGAATGATGAGACGTGACCTTCAGAAGGGGACTTTGTGCTCCCTGTCCTGTAATTCCTATGTGGGCTCTGGGAGGATACAGCTCTCTGAGGTTATAATTTAACTAAGAGGGAGAAATACTTCTTAATCTAGGGAATCACATGTTTCTTTCAGGCAATTTTCAGATAGTGGATAATAACTTACAAAAAAAGGTCATGATTAATAACAGTAGTAGTTGTTGTTTACAGAGAGTTTATTGTGGGCTCTGTATTATAGTGTTTTATTTTAAAATTTTGTTTATAAAAATTTTTATTGGAGTACAGTTGCTTTACAATGTTGTTAGTTTCTACCTTACAGCAAAGTGAATCAGCTATGTCATGTCATGTGAAAGTCGCTCAGTTGCCCCATGAACTGTAGCCCGCCAGGCTTCTCTGTCCATGGAACTTCCGAGGCAAGAATACTGGAGTGGGCTGCCATGCCTTCCTCCGGGGATCTTCCTGACCCAGGGATAGAACCCATGTCTCTTACGTCTCCTGTGCCGGCAGGCGGGTTCTTTACCACTAGTGTCACCTGGGAAGCCCAAATCAGCTATACATATACATATAGCCCTCCTTTCTGGATTTCCTTCCCATTTAAGTCACCACAGAGCATAGAGGAAGAGGAGAGTTCCCCGAGCTATGCAGTAGGTTCTCATTAGTTATCTATTTTATATATAGTATCAATAGTGTATATATGTTGATTTCAATCTCCCAATTCATCCCATCCCCTTTTTCCCCCTTGGCATTTTAAAATATCTAAAACAAGAGCAACAACAGTAATAAAGCAAGCCAATGTTCTGGGAAACAATCATGTTCGGCATATAATGTTTTGAAGGACCCAAGAAGGAGCCAAAATTATTTATTAGATTTTAGAGTCTCATGGTTGTATTGGTCTAGCCCAAGTATGAGGAGGCCTTGTTGTATCAGTGTCAAATCTTAGAGTCTGCAGACAGGAAACAGATTTACATTCTGTTTCTTCCTGCCATTCACCAACTATGTGCAATATTTTGGGTTCTTTTTTTTGGAGGGTTATTTTTTCCTTTGGGGCTATGTTTCATAGTCTTTCACATTTAATCCTCATCAATATTCTGAAATGGGAATTTGCATTTCCACTTTGCTTAAGCTTAGACGGGTTATGTTTATCCAAGATTATGCAAATAGCACCAGGGTCTGGATCCAGAACTTTGTTCATAACCATTATGCTAAATGCTACTTATCCAGGGCCATTGTCTGCAGGGAACCATTGTTGTCATTGTTTGGTCGCTGAGTTGTGTCTGACTCAGCAAACCGGAACTTCCCAGAAACCTTACACCATATCCACTCACCAAGGTGCCTCACTCTGGCAGCATGGAGGAAATTGGGATTATCTGTCCTGCTGTCCCATGTAACAGACTCTTCTAAAGTCTGGTCATAAACCAAACCCCCTCTCAGGATAAGTCTCTAAAATCAGTATGTGTGAGTTTCTTCCTCCACCAATATCTGGGTTTTAGGGCAAAACAGAGGGGGACCTCAATATTTTTATTACAATAATTCCTCCCCTACCTCTTTGAGGTCATTAAAGTTTTCCCCATAGAAACATTGTTATGAGTCAGTTATATATTCCTTTAGTACCAGGTGATTGTCTGTTTAGCCCCTAGATTAGTAGCAAGCCTGAAGCTGGCCCACCATTTACAACATTGCTTCTTTGCAAAATTATATATTGAAGTCTCCCTCAATCCCTAACACATTTAAAAACTAGAATATCTTGTTAATTTGAGATTAGGTTCATCAGATTTATTTCATTTTTTATTGGCTAAGATTTGCAAACTTTGTTCTTTACATCTTCCTTTCTTAACAGTTCTTTTCATTCCCCAGAGAAGTTTCAAAAATTCATACTCCACTGCCTTTAGGGCCACTTATTAGTAACAGAAGAAGAGTAGCTTTACTACATTTTAGTAATCCTCATTTGACCTCAAAAGATGGAGTTTTGCCAATTGTGAGTATATTAAAAAGAATGTGCTATTGAATCAAAAGCATTTACAAAGGGGAATTTCTAAAACTGCTTTGTGTGGATAGTTTAGGAGGTGGATGGATTATTATTGTGATGATTTTTTTAAAAAAATTAATTAATTTTATTTTTGGCTGTGTTGGATCTTCATTGCTGATGCTGGGCTTTCTCTATTTGCGGTGAGAGTGGCTACTATCTGATGCAGTGCACAGGCTTCTCATTGCGGTGGTTTCACTTGTTGTGGAGCCTGGGCTCTAGATGCATGGGCTTTAGTAGTTGTGGTGTGTGGGCTTTTAGTTGCCCCACAGCACATGGGATATTCCTGGAGCAGGGATCAATTCCATTCCCCTGCATTGGCAGGCAGATTCCCAACCACTGGACCACTAGGGAAGTCTGTAAATGATTATCTTGAAGGGTGACAATATTTCTTTCTTTTTTTTTTTTTTTTTGAAGGGTGACAATATTTTTTCATGTGTATAATTTCTGGGCTAGTTTCTAAAAAAGAATTCTGTCAAATTTCCTTATACTGTCACTTCCTTTAAGTTATTGAATTTCAGTTCACTTCTGATTCAAATGACCTGTAATTTAATGATAAAATTCAAAGCCTATCCTTTTTCATGACAGATCTGATGGTTTTGAGCCCTATGTGATCACTAAACTTGAATCAGACAAGCATGATAAAACTTAAATGATAACATCAGCATTTATAAGTACATAATAAACCCTGATACCTGTATCGTGCTTCAGTCTTTCAAAGTTATTTGGTAGATATTATTTCTGAGGGTGAACATAAAGTTGTCTAGAATCATGAGAAAGTATTTCCAATTACAAATCAGTAACTTCCAGTAGAACCCGGAAGAGCAGGCATGACTCTACTCTCAGCAGTAGAAATGACTCACCAGGAAATGACTCGAGAGGTAAATGAGGATTCAGGAAGTGTCCAGTGCTAACCATGACAGCATCAAAGACAGCTCTGTCCTGCCTCCCCTCTGTCTCTGTGACAACATCCCATTGACCAGTTTCAGAGAAGTCAGGACGCTTTGTTATGCTGCGCACGGTGGTCTGAAAGCAAAAGACAGACACTCGTTTCCCACCAGTCATCTTGGGACTTCATGCAATGACTGTATGGTAACCATGTTTGTTATTTCAAGTGGGTCAAGTGAGTCTCACGTTAGAAGGCCTTTCAATATTGGTTTATCTTCTCCCTAGAAAAGTTAAATAACTTGTGCAAAGTCTCAAAAGTGGTCATAAAGATTAGGACCCAAAAGATCTGAATGACTGCACTACAAGGAAGAAACATTCAGGTTTTATTTCTGGTGAGAAGATGAGTTAAAATACTGAATGTTGGAGAAATTTAGGAAAATGAGTTTTGACCCATTATAATTTCTGTAGTTCAGACTTCTAGTTATTTCTTTCTAATGGGTTTCATGAACAAAATCCATTTTTCATTCCTTCTGAAAAAAATTCTAAATTTCATCCTGAATGAGACTTTGGATTTAGAGAAGGAACCAGGAAATTCAGTATTTTAGTGACTTCAGTAAAACATGAACAACAGGATTATTATCTGCCGTATTCATGTAGAGAGAAAATTAGGAAGAAGTTTTCTTAGGCATCCCATTTCAATTAGATTGGTGAATGGGCCAGCCCCTATTCATTGACCTTCCATAACCCAAGCCATCTTACCTTAAACCGAATGTATTTCAGAAGGTCAAAGTACTCAGCAAACTCTTGGAGGTAGTTCCAAAATTTTTCTTGGTTCATGAAATTAGGATAATCTTCTTGGAAAGGGAAGTCACTGTAACATGACATTTCTTTGCAGACATTTGTCACTAGTGACTTGTAGACCCTAGTCATCCCATCTTTAGATGTTTCCTGTGTAAAAGCACAGTTAACTTGATGGGGTGGGCTGAGGGGGATAGGAGGAAGAGAACAGAGATCACCAGCAGCTAGCATTCCACGTGTAATTCCAAAGAGTTTCTGGAAAATTTAGCATTGGATCCCCTTGCTATAGATATCAAAAATCACTGGTGGGGTTGGAATTGTTAAATATAATATCTTCATCAAACTACAAAGAAGCTAACAACATTTAACAGGGCTCTGCAGGACTAACACTGTCTTTAAACAGTTCCATGAACCTGGGCCCATGGTCCATCTTGCTTGTCTTCTTCCCTTGCCATGATTACTCCCTCCTCTTGGGCTCTGGGCCTCTTCTTCTTGCCTTTGCTTAAGGAATTCCTCACAAAGTTTTCTAGTTATTGTCTATGTATATGTTCAATCACTCTCTCTTTATCGAGTCCTTCCCATCCACACTTAAAATATTGAAGACTCAAAATTTCAAAACAATCCCCCCCTTTCAACTTATATTGAAGGAGGAAACAGAACAGGCTCCATCTTGAAAGCAGGACTCCATCTTGCGCCGGACTGTGGACTCTGAGCTATATGCCCAGTATCTATGGGAACGACATACCAACTGGAAAACCAGACCCCCAGATAGAAGAGCCCCAGGGCTCATACCTAGACTCTCCATGCCTAAAAGAATACCCTAATTATCTGTGAAACTGAATAGAATCATAAATTCTATTATGCTTATTGGGGTATGACCACAGGCCTATTGATAATTGTCTACTGTTAACTACCTAGGCTTAAGGCATATGGATGACGGGTTAACTTTGATTGTATCTTTCTTTTCCTTTGTTCAGACTAGTTTCAGGGAATTTGGGAAGGTGGGTTTGGGCACATATACTTAGGGTATATAAGGTTTTCACAAAAACTGGTCAGGGTCCTGGGCTAAGAGGAGACTCTGCCTTGGGCCCACCAGTGTAATAAACTGCACTCCACTATTGCATTGTCCTTCTGAGTGAATTTGTTTTCTGGAATGTGTGGCTACAACAATATCCTCTTACAACCATGTCTCTCTCTGTCTCATTTCAATCTTCATGAAGGGGTCATCACACACTGACAGACTCTGTTTTCTCCTGGACTCCTCAACTCCTTGTCTAATCTTGGTCTTTGCCACCCAAAAACAAAACAAAAAGTCCTATATTAAAGACACTAATGAACTTGTTCAAAGCTAATCTCCATTTCTTCTTCAAGTCTCTTTCTTTGCCATAACATTCTCTAAGAAGCTTTCCATAACCCTATAGATCTTCACAAGGTAGCCATTGTACCTGCTGCCCCAACCTAGTACTCTGTACTTTGAGCACAGAATTGATTACACTGCATTGCAAAGATCTGGTTACAGTTTCTGTTCCCCACTAGATTCTAAGGAGGGTTGGGGCCCTGTCTATCTTGGTCCCTGTGTGTCCTGGGAGAGGGACATCACAAATACTTGAATGAATGAAAATGAATATTACCATTGCATTTTTGGAAAATAAATATGTGTATGACTAAAAGAAATTACATCAAAATTTAAATAATGCTAATTTATTTAGTGCTCATGAGTATTGATATTATATTTAATTTATATTTTTTCTTTTCTTTTTTTTTGGCCATGCCTCATGGCATGTGGGATCTTAGTTTCCCAACCAGGGCATGAACCCAAGCCCCTTGCAGTGGAAGTGTGAAGTCTGAATCACTGGACTGCGAGGGAAGTCCTGTATTTTTCTTTTAACGAATATTATTTTTAATTTTTAATTTTTTTTTATTGGAGTATAGTTGCTTTACAATGTTGTGTCAGTTTCTGCTGCACAACAAACCGAATCAGTCATATATACACACACACCCACTTTTCTCTCGATTTCCTTCCCATTTAGGTCATTACAGAACATTGAGTAGAGTTCTCTGTGCTATACAGTAGCAATATTATTTTCTAAAATTAGTTTGTATCACTTTATAATAGGAGAAGGAAACCAAGTCAACCATAGGGTCAAATAGCAGAAGGTACACAAACCAGACCGAATATTTTTTTCCATACTGACATTTGGTGGCTTGATAAGGCCCACAGTACATCAGAAAAAAAAAATTTTTTTCCCTAGTACACGATGGGCTTCCCTGGTGGCTGAGAAAATTCTTTTCCTGGTGGTAAAGAATCTGCCTGCAATGTGGGAGAACTGAGTTCGATCCCTGGGTTGGAAAGATCCCCTGGGAGGGCATGGCAACCCACTCCAGTATTCTTGACTGGAGAATCCCCATGGACAGAGGAGCCTGGCGGGCTACAGTCCATAGGGTCACAAAGAGTCGGACATGGCTGAGTGACTAAGCACAGCACAGTACACTATAATCCTAGAGTTGTGGTCATTTACATACATTTGCTTATTCTGTTTTCTTCACCATCCATCCAAGACTGGCAAATGCCACTTCCTCCATGCAGGCTTCCCGCATTCATACCAGTGTGAAGTACCTCCCCAGCCCTGAGTGCCTGCTAAATGCTGCTCTTCTCTTTCTCCTGAAGCATTTACTATTTGGGCCTCCATCTTTTGACACCTTATACACTACTGGGGCAGATCCCTTTATTCCCACTGAAGACCCTGATATTCCCAGTAACCAGGACCAATTCTGGCCAGAGGCATGTGTGAGACGGTAGCAGGCAGGAAGGCTAGGGGTCTCCAAATGGAGGAAATAGGCTGTAAATGTCAGACATCTTATCTCTCTCTGAAGTGGCAGGAGGAAACAAACTATATGTGACAGATTTTCTCCCTTTCTCTATACAAAATTGAAAGGAGATTTCCTTTAAAATTCTGTGTTGCCATGACAACACCTGGTTCCACCTGAACTTAACTTTTTTCAAACCTTGAGCTAACCAATGCATTTTTCTTGTGGAAATATTTTTCTTAAGTTATGTTAATGAACTATATTTACCCTAGACTCTGTCTTTCTTCAAGTCAGTTTGCCTAAGGCTCAGAACCTACGTGACAAACCAGTATGTTTTATTCATGCAAATGTTATCTTAAGCTATGTTAATGAGACTATGTATTTGCCTGGAAACCTACCTTTCTTCAAGATTCATGCCAATCATTTTATGGCCTGGGACAACTCACCTTGTGCCAATGTTATCTCAAAATGCATGTTGTGGGTGAGGGGCCTGGTACCAGTCTCTGAGTCTTGAGACATTTCCTTTCTCTAACTAGCGGGGTGGGGGGGGGGTCCATTTCCTTTCTCTAACTATATAACTTCCTGCTAAAGACTAGCAGGGGGGCACTCTTTCTTCCCCCTTCCGATGTCTATGTCAGAAGCTTTCTCTCTTTCTTTTATACTTTAATAAAACTTTATCACACAAAAGCTCTGAGCAATCAAGCCTCGTCGCTGGCCCCGGATTGAATTCCTCTCCTCTGAAGGCCAAGAATCTCGGCGTCTTTCACGGCTCAGCAACAACCTTTCATATGGCATTTAGTCATTTCCAGCCCTACTTCCTGATGCTCAAGTCACCTACTGGCTGGCCAAACCTTGAGCATACGCCCTAGGCTGCACATTCCACTCTTAAGAAGAGCAATAGTGCCTGGGTTCTTCTTCTGATAATGTAAAAACCACCCCCTAGACCTAACAAGGTCTGGATTCTAGCCTCTCCCTTGCCAATTCTCTTCCAAAAGACATGAACAATGCCTTGGGGCTGGGGCTCCACCCCCTGATGCCAACTTCTGTCCTTCTTAAGGTGCCATCTGCTTCACATTCAGCAATGAGATTCAGCTTACCTAACATGACACTCTGCTACTTTGTCTTAGAATGTTCATGGTCCAGAAATCATCGTAACTTCCAATCCTATGTTTGTGTATCAGACTTAACTCTTTCTTCCTCTTTCCTCCAAATTCTCTTGCCCCTATCCTGCCAATTCTCCAAGTGCATCACCTATCAGACTGCATCCTGCATGGGGTCAGCAGGTCACCATACACAAAGTTGTGATGCTGCAATGAGCTGCTCCCTTAATGATCACCATGTGTGCATGCTCAGTCATGTCCATCTCTTTTGAGACCCCATGGACTCCACTGTCCACCAGGCTCCAGCCCATCAGGCTCCTCTGTCCATGGGATTTCCCAGGCAGAATACTGGCATGGGTTGCCATTTCCTTCTCTGGGGGATCTTCCCTGACCCAGGGGTCGAACCCTCATCTCTTTCTTTGGTAAGCGAATTCTTTACCACTGAGCAACCAGGGAAGCACTTAATGCTCACCAAGATGGCAGGGACAAAGCAAATGGCCAGATTATGGTTGGTGGAGGTGGGAGGGTATGAACTACGCACAGTAAACTTCCACAGTCCGCCAATGTCACTACTTCTTTCAAAGCAGATGGGCTCCAGGTCTTCATCTAAGCAGCATTTGATGGAGGACAGGCCACTCACACCAGCTCCGATCACTGCAACTCGCTTGGCCATGGTGTGTTCTGTATGATACAGATTAAGCAGAGCTTCTTTATATGACAAGGCTAGAAGGGAGCCCTTGTCATAGAATTCAACTTTCACAATGATATAGATACCCTCCTTTTGTCTCTGAGCTGAGGCAGAATCATATTTTGGCTAAATGTGAAGGCTCTGAAATCAGACTGTTTCAGTTTGAATGCTGGCTCCATTTATTTACAGTATGATCTTGGGCTAGTTGTTTATCCTTTCTGTGCCTCAGTTTTCTCATCAGTACAATGAGAGTGGAAATAATAATGCCTATCTAAAATAGGCATTGTCCTGAAATTAAATGACTGAGATATGTTGGAAAGGTTGTAGAAGTATGTCTGCTACATAGTAAGTACTCAGTTAAATTTTGCTCTTATTATTATCTAGTTTAGCCAAGACCTAGCACCAAATATTTAATCAGCATTCATTCCCCACTTCTCTAATGACTCCTTCTTTCCCTCTCTTCTTTCTGGAAAAGGCAGCTCACACAGATAAAATTTATCAACATTTGGGAACACATAGACAGACACACCTGTTGCTTCCTTTGGATTGAGGAGTAAAATGTCTTGATCCCCTTAAGATTTTATATTCCCTCAGTATTAAAAACACTTTGCTATCACCTAACCCTTCTAAAATCCTAGGAACTGCAACCAGCAAAACTGTTCATTTTTATTCAAAGCATCTAAAATCCTAAAGAGTAGCTAGTTATGGGTCATGTCCTGCCAGCAAAAAAGATACTACATGAATTGAGGGGAAGTTCTTAACTTTGAACAATGAAAGCTTAACTGACCGTAATACAGAACTAAGTCCCCAAGGAAATCCATATGGCACATTCTAGAGACCAAGATGAGATCACATGGAAATGGGGATGTTATCCTTGTCAGGAAAGATTGGAGGAAGCATGAAGGTGTTATGACAATTTATATCAGGTTTTAAAATTGTAGTTTTGGGCTTCTGCAGATATCAACATACATTTTTTTTTTGATCAGATGGGTTAATACTAAGTTAATTCCAGCGAATCAGGTTTATGTCACATGGAGGGCTTTGAAGTGTCAGGTGGACTCAGGTGTAACTGCTGAGTTTTTGAACATGACTTAAGGTCAGTCTGCTAGTAAGACGCTGAGTCGAGAGAGACTCTAGATATCTGAGTATGAGTCTGGATGTGCACATCTCACTGGGGTGAGAGTCTGAAGTGTCCCGTGATTCCTGTTACTGAGCCTCTTCCCTCATTTGAGCTCAGGTTTGCTGCCATGCTTTCTGGTTGGGTTTGCGGGTGGGGGGGTTTATCCTCAGGGCTTTGCAGTTTCTCTCTAGCCAAATCAGAGCCCCCAGGCACAAGAAGAGTGCCAGTAAAGGAGGTGGTTGGGGGAAATGGGCTCTGGATTGGTTGGTTTGGATTCAAAAAGTCACCCTCCCAGGAGGGCGGTTTACTATCTCAAGGAGCTGGCTAAGCCAGGGAGCAGCAGTCCCTTAGGCATCAGCAAAGCCTTAACAGTCAAAGCATCAAAATACAGAAAATAAAGAGGCATGGTTAATACAAGTGAGAAAGGGGAAAGCGTTGGGAAGAAAATAAAAAATAAAAGGACCCCTCGGCACAAAGACAAAGGGAGTTAGTGACTTTACAGAGGGCAGAAGAAGACTTCTGAGCCCTTGGACCCCTCAGACTTACCTGGTTCCAGAGGGACTTGCAGGAAGGATCAGAGGGCTTTTCCAGGCTTGCCTGTTTCAAAATCTTACTTGCCATCCTTCCCTTTGCAAGGTTGAGAACTTCCTGCCTGGCTTCATTATTTATAACAAAATTTACACTCTTCCCTCCCTGAGACTTTTGGTTTATTTAGGAGTCTCTTTTTGATTTTGGTAGAGTTGAGTAGTCTGAAGTAAGAATGGACCCTGGAGGCAGCAAAACTGGGTTTGAACTCTGTCTCTGCAACTGATGAGCCATGTGCCCCGCAAACAACCCACTTACACACTTCAAGATGTACTGTTTGCAAATAAGAAACACAGTCACATGGAAGGATTGTTTGAGTCTGAAACTGTGATAATAATTACACAAAACTGCCTAGCACCAAATATTTACTCAGGATTCATTTCCCACCTCCCTAACTATTCCCTCCTTTCCTCTCTTCTTTCTGGAGAAGACATCTCACACAGATAAAATTCATCAGCAATTTGGAAACACATAGGCAAACACACATATGGCTTCCTTTGGTCTAGCTAGCTAGTAAAAGGTCTAGATAGCTTTTATTTTTATTTATTTTTATTTTTTCCATTTATTTTTATTAGTTGGAGGCTAATTACTTTACAACATTGCAGTGGTTTTTGTCATACATTGAAATGAATTAGCCATGGATTTACATGTATTCCCCATCCCGGTCCCCCCTCCCACCTCCCTCTCCACCCCATCCTTCTGGGTCTTCCCAGTGCACCAGGCCAGAGCACTTGTCTCATGCACCCAACCTGTGCTGCTGATCTGTTTCACCCTAGATAATATACATGTTTCGATGCTGTTCTCTTGAAACATCCCACCCTCGCCTTCTCCCACAGAGTCCACAAGTCTGTTCTATACCTCTGAGTCTCTTTTTCTGTTTTGCATATAGGGTTATTGTTACCATCTTTCTAAATTCCATATATATGTGTTAGTATACTGTAATGGTCTTTATCTTTCTGGCTTATTTCGCTCTGTATAATGGGCTCCAGTTTCATCCATCTCATTAGAACTGATTCAAATGAATTCTTTTTAATGGCTGAGTAATATTCCATGGTGTATATGTACCACAGCTTCCTTATCCATTCGTCTGCTGATGGGCATCTAGGTTGCTTCCATGTCCTGGCTATTATAAACAGTGCTGTGATGGACATTGGGGTGCATGTATCTCTAGATAGCTTTTAATCAGAAACAAATGGCCTCCCCCGATAAGAACACATCCATTTCCAGGGTACGAGGGAGAAGTCTGGAATTGGCAGATCTCGCTGTGCTCTGCTTTTGCAATAATAAGATGAAAGAAATAGTTGTTAAGTGATCTGGTTCAAATGCAAAATGTGCTGCAGTGAATAGACTGGCAGCAAATTAATTCACTCCACACGTGTACTCTATGTAACTCTAAGGGCAGATACTGAGCCAAGTTTTGGGGCCTCCTGAATGATTAAGAATCAGTGAGTAAATAACAGTAATAAATACAGACCCAGTGACTATTCACAAGAAGATGCCACTATATAGACAGAGGCTGACACGCATGATATCAGGCAATATGTCTCATAATAGCAGCATGCTCTGGGTACAAATGCTTGCAGACACTTTTGGGCTGCTTAGCTATGCCTGGAGACCCAGCTGGAGACAGGTACTGGGCTGTGTTTTTCCTGAGCAAAAACACCCAAGTGCCAAATGATTGATGCCCTAAATAGATGTAAATTGAAAGGCAGGGGAGAATACTGCAGGCCTGACGGGCCAGGAGGACAGAAGGTGTGCTAAGCTCTTTGTAAACTCTAAGAGTGTGCTATAAACGTAAGGTCCATTGTAGGTCAAAGGTTGCTGATATTTTAGTTCCTTAATAGAAAAAGCCCTAATCTACTGAGTTGGATTTTTGAACAACAGGAAAACCCTATCCCATGCCTGACACACCATAAATGTAGCAGTCAATTTTGAGACATGGAGAGACTTGGATGATTAGCAAATCATACAGTTGATTATGATTTATATGAGTTTGGACTTCGATCTGTTTATATTTCTTATTATATCACTCTACCAGTGTTCTTCCTTTGCTACTGTATTTACAAATGTGACACTTGTGGAATATTTTGTGTTTCTCAGTGACGGGCAATTCCATCTCATCCAAAAGATGAAATCAGAAAAGAGCCTGGAATCACAGACAGTCCCACAGTTCTGTTATTCTCACCACATCTTCCTTCCGGGTGGCTTCTCCCTTTCATAACTTTGTTTCCTTAAGAAGTTCCTTTGCTTCCTGGTTTTCGCCCTAATTCTGCTGCCTTAACCCTAATCAAGAGACTCTCCAAAGAGAGGAACACACTTATCTCTAAGGAGTGCACTCACTCACCAAGGGGAATATTTACCCTCTGTAAAAGCAGCTTCTGGAAACATTTCCCCATTAAAAGAAAAAAATCCAGGAAACTTACCTTGCTGGCACAGAGCAGGTACTTTTACAAATTATTTCTCAAAGCCAATAGCCAATGCCAGTGTTTGTCTTTAAAACAAAACAAAACAAAAATTCCAAACGCAAACTCTTTGCTCTAAAAGAAAATAAAAAATAAAGGAATGCTGAGTTTAATCAAAGTGCTCTTGATTTAAAACAAAAACCTGCCGTTTTTCCTGTCATGCTGATGACAGCTGAAAATATACTCCCTGAGGGAAAAGAAAGTTGTGTAGGGCACCAGTTGAAACTTCCGTGATCTCGAGGGAGGGCTCAATGACGAATTAGAATAGAGTTGTCGGATTGGAAAGCCACAAGCGACTTCTGCCCCTTTCCCCCACCCTCCTAAACGTCACAGTTCCGCCGGAGCGCTAAACTTAAAGGGGAGCACGTGGTGACCGACTGTTCTTCTCACGGTAGCCTTTAGAGGGCGCCAAATCAGCCCAAACCACAATCCCCAGTGAATCGGGCGTTCTGCTTAACTAAATTCTGACTCTTGAATTAGTCTCTTGAACTATTATAGGAGCGTCCATAGGAGAAGGCCAATTAGGTGACTGTTGTGTCATCAAGTTCTCCCAAGTAGGGTTAGTTCCCTAACCCCAAAAGTGTGATTTCAAAATTCAGGACTTATAAGGAATTTAAGCAGCTTCGTCTTTTCAGAAAAGGTCAGCAGAGGGAGCTGGTAACACATATTTGAAAAAGCTTAAAATTGGTTTTAGATGTTAGCCTAGGGCACAAGAAGAGAAATAATTACAGAAGCACTGGCAATAATAGAATAATAGAATCCTAAACACCTTCCACTGAGTGCCTTGAATTCAGTGTCAAAGACCATCTTAGCCTCAC